CTATGGGATAGATAAGCTACAGCACAGAGACTATGTTCCTGCAGTATTTAGCACAGGATTTGATCCATCAAATGCCAGAGGCCTGTGCCACGAAGGAGACTGTGAATTGAAGTGACCATTCGTAGTCTGGGGGCATGTTAATACATAGATGCTGTTTACTGGCTTTGTTGCACTAACATTTCTTGCAAACACAATGGCTGTTGCAAAGTAAAAAATGGGAAAACCTATGAGAGGCAGCCCCAGCAGTCAGGCTGGGTGCTAAGCTGGGTGTTGTTCCTTTATCTCTGGTTAGGACAACATCAAATTCACTTACTGCTCCCTCCCTTTGCTTGCCTTGTCTGGTGTTCCTTGGAGCAGTGCTGGTGTCTGTAAGGCCAAGTACAGCAGGACTCCCTAATCTTGTTTAGGAACTTTAGGTGCCTTGCATACAAATACGTATGATTAGTATACATTCCCAAGATTACACATGGGACAGGATACATTCCCAACATGCAACCGTGCAGCTTTTATCCAGTAGACGAAGACCCAGACACTGGGGTATCATAAACAGGGATACTCTGTGCAGTCCTTGAAACAGAGTGTGCCAGGTCTCATGGATGGGCAAACACAGTGAAACTGCACTGTCTCCATATCTGGAGCTGATGTTGCTCATACCCATCTCCAGCTCAACACCCAGACTGGAGGATATGTGCATCAAACAGCTCACATACCAAGGAGGAATTGTTACGTCTTCCAAGTAGGGGTTTAGCAAAAGAGGGCCGATGAAATAGAGGGCCAGGTGGCAACGCAGGTGGATCAGAAGCAGAAATGCTTCTACCTAAATACTCTTTTTATCCTGGAGATACAGTGGGCTGTATTTTGAGGCAGCTCTCAGAATGTATGAGCAAAAAGGTAACAAGCTGCAGTTATTTTTCACTGTCTGGAGTTCTTCCACACTAGCAGGGGTGTCTGGCTGGGAGCTGTACTGTAAATGAGTGTTGGGTATGTCCTTGCTTATGTGCACACGTACACATGTATCATAGTACTGTATTGCATTTGGAAGCCTTTCCTTACTTCCTGTTGTTGTTCGGTCAGTCTTTGGCTACTGCTTGTTTACTTGAAGGCAGTGAGCAGTACTTGAGATGTGCTGCTCTAATTCCCTGTCTATACCCTGCATAACACAGTGAAATTCAGAAACTGTTTTCCCTACAGTTATCAGCGTTTTCAGGGCTACTTTGTGCTAACAAAGGTGAACATACAGTATTCATATATACAGTCTTCATATATACAGCTGCATTCATGTAGCCAGAGACACAGCTATGCAGCTGATTTTTAACCACCATAGGCAAGGCAGTTGGAATGGGATTTAAGATGAGGCACATCATTTTTGCAGTGCTTGAAAGAAAACCTGAAGCATTTGGCAGGTGTATGGCTGAGCTGCTCACCCAGCTGGGTTGGTTTGACCCTCGTTTTTGTTCGGCTTTGTGTTGCTTGTGTTTACAAAGTTGATGTTAAGGGAGAGATATTACCTCTTACTTAAAAGGAAGAAGCCCCATTAGGATGTACTCAGCTTCAAGAGAGAGAGTTTACAATTGCTGATCAAATATTAAGCCCTGATCCCCCAGGGCTTAACTGTACCACTGGTGAGCTGCAGCTTGGAGCATGTATGCTGAAGTGAAGGGGCAGGGCAGGCCTGTGGCACTTCCACAGCTTGGAAACACGAGTCATGGCAACAGTTATCAGGAAGGCCATTTTCTAGGCTTCGTTATTTCAGAGTCCTGAAGGGCTGTCTGTGTTGGGAAAGGGTTATGGCAGGAACACACAACCCCACTGCTTCCTGTCATGCAGTGCTGAAAGGCACTGAGATACCTGCAGGAGTAGGATAAACAGGTTTTCTTCGCTGTTATGGAAACAGTGATTAGAATGGTCTCAGCTGCCTTTGCTATAATAATGATGATGTTCTTCTCTCATTTAAGTTTTCATTTTAGGCCACTCACATAGAAATGGTCACCAATGAACTTTGTCTGAAGAAGGTAATTTTTCCTGTTACATAGAGACCCTGGAGCTTCCACAAGGAACAGTTTGATAACTGGCTGATGCTGGGCACGGTAAGGGCAATGGGCAGAGAGTTGCGGATAGGTGTAGCTATACCAGATGCCATTCTCTGAACAGGATTTACTTCCAGCATTTTTCTGCTGAAAAGCAGACGAGTGTAAAACGTAAGCCAGAATAACAGCTCAGCTTTGAAGCCTGTGGGAACATACCGGTATTGAGCTGAGCACATCAGCTCTGAACATGTTGCGCTGTAGGGAGCAGATGAGTAAGGAAGGACAGTAAAACACAAGGCGAATGAAGTTCTTCAAAGGCAGGCATGTACCAGCTGTCTGTTTCTATTTTTGAGTTCTGAAATGGTTTTAGTAGCACTGGAGATCAAAAAACAAACTGTTCATTTATGGCATAGCCCATTCTAACCAAAACTCCAGAGAGCCTGGAAATATTACAGCCTACTTAGAAACTCCCATTAGCAAGTTCTTTTGTTTTTAATAAATAATGTCCCATAGAAACAGAAAGTATTTACAATTAGATCAAAATTCTGAATGTAATTCACAAGAGAAAATGCTATTTTTTGAGAAAATGTTTTTGTATCCTCATAACAGTCATTTGTTCTAAATTAGTACATAGTGATTGCCCATGAAATGAACATTTTTCCCTTAAGACCGATTCTTGTACAGAAGTATTTTAGGCCAAACTTCCTAACCATGATGTAACCGTTTTGAATCAGAACATTTCTGTGATTAGTAATTCGCATGAAAATTAACATTTTCCATCACTTGAGGAAAACATGATGCATAATTATCAAAATGTAAGAGAAGACATGATGTAGGAAGAACAATAGTTTATTAGAGCCGCTTATACAGTTGAAAGAAAAGTATAGGCTTTGGGGCAGTCAGGGCCTTCATCCTAATAGAGGATACCACCTCTTCCAGCAAACCTCTTCTCTTTTATCCTCAGACCGTTATGAATACAATCATGCTGCCACTCTCAGAATATATGGATTGCATATGTCCATGTTGGACAGAATGGCTTAAACCCTATCGCTGCCAAACTGCTACTGTCAAAAATACTACCACTTGCACTAAAGTAGAATTAAGTTCTTTGAGTTAATGTGCTTCTTGGTTGCACAGTTTCTTTCTGTAACAATGTAATGGACTTAATGTCGTTGTCAGTGCATCTCTTCCACTGTCCTTTGCAAACAAGTTTTTAATATTACCTACACAAGAACATGCCCCAGAGTTCTTCTTTATTTAAAACTAATTCTGAAGTCTCATTTCTAGTGAAGCCAATGAATGTGAAACTGGATTTTATTGGTGTGTGTTACTATTACAGGAATGCAGTGTCGGAGCTGTGGTCCATCTCAGTGCCACTTAATTGTTGATATGTCCTCCTACAGGGGAGGATGAACTCTGCAGTTAAATAGAGGCTCTCCCACTAAGGGATAGATGGCAGAGTTTCAAATGTCCAGTGGAAAACAGCTTAAAACGAGAAGAGAGAACATATGTTCCCCTCAGAATCTGATGCTCTGCTAGCACGTGTCTAGCTTGAAATGTGCAGGAAACATGCAGTCTTGAGCATTAACATGCAATATTCCATTTGCTTCAGGGCAACCCTTTCTAAGTTACCTGGAATGATCTCATTGTGCACTTGGTGAAGATCAAAGCTGTTCACTTCAGCCTTACACTGACTTCATCTCAGTGCAATTTCACCTGTGGGCTTTAAACTTTGAGGCTGCATGATCCAATTCTCCAAACTTCCTGGTGGGCATAACTCCTGCTACTGACCATGGGCCCGGAGGTTATCTGAAATTAGGAGGAAACACTTCTAGGTGTAGAAGGCATGAGCTCAAGGATTTATTTTACTGTTTGCCTCTGTCAGCCTATTTATTGCACAGTTTGCACCAACGTAGAACTTCAAGGTCTACATCAGGATTAAGGCCAATTTATCATCCCTGAAAATCCAGTCTGCTCACATATACACTTCCATTACCTCTTGGTCCAGTTATGTCTCACCACTGAAAATGTCTCACTAAGTTTAAGGCACACTTTTTGCTACATAAATAAAATGTGGGCATGAGGAGGAAACTAATGATATTAAACTGAGGATGGCTCCTTACTTCAATATAATTATTACAATTAGTGGCTTTCCCCCCCCAACATTCCCTCTTCTGGTCCCCCAGCGCGGATCACACCTGTGACTTTGTCAGGGTCACATTCACAAACAGCAGATGTGGGCATGCTAAATGTGAATCTAAGGGAATCTCACACCAGTGCTGAGAATACCCAATGAAGATAGTGTAAGTAAATCCACCTTCTGCTCCATTTATTCATTTCCTTGTGCTTTGCTGCCAGTGGAAACCTTGGTGACATTATAGGGCAACATATACAATGAAATTAACAGTCTTAACAGCAGTGGACACCTCAAAGCATTCTCCTTCCCAGTGATAAGCAATGATGGCTCAAGACAAACTAACATAGTAGGGTTTCCATTACAGGTGTATGTTTCAAAGAATGAATTTAAACCTTTCTTTAGTTTAGGAGGAGTCATGCTATCCCAATTCTCCATGAAATTTGGGACTGAATATGTTGTTTAATGATAGGTCATCAAATAATCTGGGAAGGTCTCAGGCCAAGTGGTTTGCACAAACCAACTGCAGACTCAACCAAGTGACTGAAAGCTGCGTTAGCACTGCCTGCTGGGGCACGGGCCTTGGGAAAAACTCTGCTTCCCAAGAGCCATGAGCAGAGCACATGAATGAGTTCTTGAAATGGGATCTGGTTTTGGGGTTTGCCCACAGCTGATGGGCCTGTTCTTACACTCAGACCTCTTCACAGAGCAATCTCAGTGTAGAAATTACATTAGGGTAGGCACTTTTGCCTCTGAAACTCTCCTAGGCAGTTACACTCATCTGTGATTCCATTTCATTGCTGCTGCCTTGGGAGCACAAAATCAAACATACTACTTCAAACGTTTCCCTCGCAATGTTTAAGGAGATGTTTATTTCTCAGTTGCAAATGGAACTGCATGCTGAACCAACCCGTGAAGCATCGATCATACTGCACAAGCAATTGTAAGAAATAAGATATTTAAAAAATTACTTCTGAAAATACTGCCAACAATTTTATGATATAGATATTTTTAATATTAAAAGTAAATTGTAAATGTATCTTTATAAACAATATGCATAAAATAGATCTACTATACTAAGCTCTCTCTTTTTAAATGCTGCTTCACAGTAATTTCTTAGGTATGCAAAGTTTTTCCTCCAAGAAATAGTGCAATCTGAAGAACATACATTATGTCAGCGGATCAGAACTACTATGGTCATTAATACAAGTCTTTGTAGATCTCTTGTAGGAGTGGATGAAGGCTCATGTCTGTCTCCGTTTTCTTGATGATTTGCAAGAGCTGCACGTGTTCCGTTACAATCTGTCTGAGGTCCGTCATTTTCTGCAGCAACTTTGCAAAGAGCTGGGAGGATTCAGGGTGATTCAGCTTCAGCTGGAGCTCCAAAGCTTGCAACAGATTGTCTTGTATATCTTCAATGGGCTTCACATTTAACAAACCTGGGCGGTCTAGGGGGGAAAAGGGAGTTGTAAGTTTATGAAGAATGTGGAAACATCAATCTCATCTCTTGGTTTCTTAGAGATTTCTTAGTGTATTGAGCAGTTACACACAGCACTTCCTGACAACTGTTTGACAAATGGGTTTATCTGTAAGATTTTACTAGAATTTGCTCAAAGACATTTTAGAAGTAACCTTAGAAACAATCTGAGCATTTGTGCGGTGCAGATCCAGAGGCAGGTTCATACCATACGACAATGCATATTCCACAGCAAACTGGAAGCGTTAATGGAAAGGAAGAGTGATTTACAGTTGGGGCATAAACAGTCTGTGTCAGGTGATCCACTTACTTGACACATCACGTATCCTCAGGTGGATTTGCATGTAGTTACTACCAGTAAAAATGTCTCCTGCTAAGGGGGATGCTAACCTATCAAATTAAAAAGGACATAAATTCAACTTGTGCAGTCACACTAACTTGGGGGATTTAAAAACCACAGGCTCAGTTTTTCTTCACACCCACGTTCCAGGTGCCATTAAGAAGTCTCACAGTAGCTTTTAGCATCAGCTCCTCAGCTCAGCCCCGAAGGCTTATGGCAGTGGAGGACGGAGAGATGTGGCTTGCACAGAAAATGCCTTTTCTGGGCTCATGCCAACAGGGAGTTCTCTCTCCTCCATAGGGATGTTTACAGCCTGGGTCAGCTACTTGCACTGCCACAACTGCGAGGTCCAGGATTATCTTTGATGTATTTTATTCTTCAGCAACAAGCAAAATCTTTCCTTTTTAACCACTAGTATCTTCCATCATAATAGCTATCCTGTTATTTCTGTCTGTCCTCAAATGCCTTCTGAAGTGCTTGCAATTGTTAGTTAACATCATTTGTAACATTAGTTTTCTAACTTGAGGCAATGAATTACTTGATTCTACACCCATGAAAGTTGATAAAGGTGCTTAACATTACTAAATCCTCACATATGACAATGAACACCAGTAATGTGTTACTGCTGAAGTAACTTCATACTGGGTAATGCATCCTGATCATCAGAATGGAAAAACAGTTGATGATTTCAATGACATTTGCTGTGAAGCTATATAATCAATTTATAATCAGTAAAAAGCAGTCCCTGAAATCACTTCCCTAAGGCAGTATTTCCAAATTTGAGCTATATTAAAACAGTGAAAAACAGGCTGTTATTTCCTTTGATCTCAGTAACCTTTCTGTGCATCCAGTTCTAGTAACTCGGCCTGGCTTGTGCTGTATACTAGGAACAAGGCTGAGAGAAAACAAAGCGCTTTATAAACACATTGGGGTTTTACTCCACAGGCCAAAAACTGCAGTGTGAACTAAAACTGAAACCAAATGAGTATCCCAGCCATGAACACCCATGGGTCAGCCATTAGGAAAGGACAGTTAACCCTCAAAGAGGTGAGGCTGGGGACAGTTTTTCAGAAGTAGGAATAATTGCAAGTTTAAATATGGAGCTTGACATCTGACGGTGGGTTCATGAAGTGACTGCATTTTATTGTAGGTGATGGGACTCACTGACCCATTTGCTCACTGTCTCCATTTGGTGTTTCATGCTAGTAAGCTGTAGTTTGTCTTGCAGAGTTCACCTGTTTGTGCCATGCCACGGCCAGTACCATAGAGCATGGCTCAGAAAGTCTGTGAGTGAATATCCTGCAAGCAGAAAATTGTCTCCAAACAAACAGCTACTTTATTAATGCCCTTTGGCAAGATTATGGAGTCATTTTTACAGAAACTTATGAGAATTTTGGGTAAATCTGAGATGTTTCCTGTTACCTACATTGACTGCATGTGCTGGAAAACCACTGCCTTCTTTATACCTTTCAGAAACTTCCCAGTTTCCAGGACGTCAAAGCTGTTGATGATTTTGGCTTTGGGGTGCGATAGCTTTAAATTTGCCTTCTGTGCTGCAGCTGAACTCTGAACTAACTGGGTATGACTCAGTGCTCAGCGACAGAAAAAATCAGAAAGCTCAAAGCCTGTGGCCTTGATTTCCTCTGAGATTAATCTCCCTTTGCCCCCGGCTTCTTTTATGATGGGAATTTTTAGGGTGTGAGGTTTGCAGCAGTGAAACCCAGTTCAAGCATTGTGCTCCCCAGCACAGCCCAGGAGGCAAACCCAGGAGATCAGTACTGAGTCTGGGACTCACCAAGGAGCCCCCAGATTGGGGTGCCCAAGTCAGTTGAAGTTCAGTGAGACTTAAGCAACTAAAAGCCCTAAGCTCCTTTGAAAACCCCAGTCTAATGGGTTTATAATGACCCAGTGGAACTAGGGTCAGAAAAGATGACTATGACAAAAACCTAGGAGATAATCAGATGTTATTTTTAAATAAGCCAATTTGAGAGGAAGGAAAATTCCCATTGAAGGCAAGAGAGATTTTTCATGAATGAGAACTTCGGGATATGGCCATTATTTTTTGGGTGTTGACAGTTTGTTATACTTTCTCAGTAAAAACTTCTTACAGAGGAAAATATTGTTTCTCTTCCAAGAAACTTATCTAAACTGGGGGGGAGGGAAGAAGGGAATAAGAAGCAAAAGCTTTAATATACAAGTATTATGGTATATTTCATGTTGTTAAGATGCTCTTAACTATATATGCTCTAGATTCATTGGGCTACTGCACCAAAACATGTACCAGAAATGGGGGTGAACAAGATGTGACAGTGGTGGAGGCGTTTGGAGATGCTAAGAAGGACAGAATTGCTGTTTGACAGCTCACAGAGAAGTCTGCAAGGGGAAGCGCTGGCAGGAATGAAAGACAAGCCCCAGTGAGTGACAGCAGGACTTTCTTACTATACAGTGACATTAGGTTGCAGAAGGCCAAAGGAAAGTGTTGAAATGATGATGGTGAGAGACAGCTAAAAGCAAATTGAACACCACCGCTAAACCTCTCTAATACAGAAGATTGCTGATGGAAGTTTAACCTTTTTATGTGCTATTTGTGACCTGCCTTTTATCCATTCAGACTATGCCAAGAGAGTACCACATTTCTCTTTTCATTACTACTTGTCTTTATGAATTTTGTTTCATTCATTGTCATATGGCTGCTTCATTTGGTGTGGAAATTCCGCAGGAAGCTGTTCTAAGGAAGAAAATAGTCACAGAAGTGACCATTAGCCCCTTAGCTTTGAGTGCCAAATGTATGACTGCATGAATTGATGTTCTATACTGGCTCAGGGAAAAATAATGTTATTTCCTTACAGATTTGGGTGCTTCTTTCATGTCCCTAACAGCAATTACAATTTGGTTTCTGTTCCTCACATCTGAAACTGCCATCTGCATGCCTTTATAGTTTAGTACCTGTGATCAAGTGCATTTTGCATTCAAATACACATTCTGAACTCAATACAATAAAACAGGCAAAGATATGGGTGACTGCACAACCGTGCTACTTCTTCTGCTGAGGCAGATATGACTCAGCAGTCCGAGGTTTTTCTCCAGGACTGTACTGTGTATTGTAGTCCCCAGGACTGTGGTTCAAAGCCCGCAGTGGTTATCTGCAGTTCTTGGTGTGATTATTAAATGCTTCTTTGTTCTTAACAGCTTTGCCAGAGCAGGATTTGTGTGGCAGTCAGGTATGAACTATTCCTTGGTACTATTCAGTGATAAAACTTTCAATTTTGCTGATCTCGGATTGTAGCAAAATGACTGAATGCAATGTTTAAACAAGAGCAGTGACTGCTGTGAAGAACACACCCAGAAACAGAAGTGAATGAACATCGGTGAGTTCAGGTACCATTCTGTCTGCACCTCTGGGTAACAGAGTAACGGAGTCTGAGTCTTCACAGATATTCCCTACTACAGTTCCCAAACACCACTGTAGCCCAAGCGCTGCAGCAGGTCATACACAAAAGTTCAACTCTATGTGGACATGCTGCAAAATCACCTTTTGAGCTTTTCCTTTAACAACCCCCTGCTTGAGTGAGTTTGATGCTTGTAAATGTGGATTATCCCAATAGCTTGGACTACCCTCTTTCCTGCCCAAACACAGACATCCAGCTTGTTCTCCTTACACCTTCTTATGACAGACTTCATTTTCAGCTCTGGTGTATACCACGTTTTTAAAGATACTTCAAGTTCTTGAACATTTATACCATGGCACTAACTACCGGCTGAGGATATGCCTCAGTGGAATGCAACAGGAAGGATGAGTATCTCCTTGACAGAAGTTTTCCAAATCCCATTTTACCAAATGTACGTATTTATCAAAGTTACCATAAGTAAAAGGACATTGTAATGAGAGTTTGGTATTGCTGTTAATGGCATAAAGCATTTCTTGGGTAAAACCAAGCTAATATCCTGTAATACCCTACCACTCACACAGAGTCTCATCTCATCAGCATTAAATTCATCATACTAGAATTCGTTGGCCATTTACACTGTTGTTTTAAAGCACAGTGAACCAACATTAAGAATAACTCTTCAGCTTTGTAATGATGTGTTCAGAGTGACATTTGGAATCACTGAGCAGCTCAGGAGCAGTCAAATGATTGACACTGGAAGCAGGAATACTTTCATTCTGTTGATGTTACAGTTAATTTGTCAGCCTATTATTGGCAGAGAAGTATTTTGCCTCTTCACATATAAGGCAAAACAACTGGTTCGCTGTCAAAAGGCTGAACTGTTTTATAGGATTTGTGGCAAATTCCAAACACACTTCACAATGAAAAGCTTTCTACATGTCATGTTCCAGCTGGAATCATTATCTTTCGCTTTTCCTTCCCTCCGCTCTTCAGAGCTGCATAAGAGAGCGTGCCATGGAGCTGGAGAATGGACATCATTTCACAAGGCAATGACAGACTCACTTCGAATCACAGCTTTTGGTGAGGATCTGTGTGTCACAAACTGCTTTGCTTTTTAAGATCTTTGTGCACAGGATCTCTTGAAGTGACTTACGAATGAGAGTATTCCTGCAGCCAGTAAAGGCCTGGAGGTGATATCATATGGCTTTGAAAACCAATTTTCAATGAAATCATCCTGGCTCAATATTCCTATAGTTCTTGCAGAAACAAGGGCATCTGAGCCCCCTGAGGAACTGGATTTCAGTTCCATACCACATATTATAGTCCCCTAGAATGCATACAGGTCAATATACACCATACTTGACTGTAAATTCCATGATAAAAGCCATTCTTTAATTGCCTGCAAAGCTTAATTGTTTTCAGAAGAGAAGCTCAGTTTTTGCAAATAACTGTCATGTTGTTGTGTGTTTTTTTTTTGGGGGGGGGAGGAATAAAAGTTCTGAATAAAGACAGTGAGTGAAAGAACTTTGCTACCAAGAAATTAAGGGATTTTCCAAGAAAGGGCTGGTTGATTTTTATATGGATTTATATTTTTATCTGGCTTTGCTTCAGGGTTATTTAAGAACTATTAAAATTGAGTAGTTCTTTATGGACCTCTGTTTGCAAGTTATCCTTTAAAAAGAGACTTGTTGATAAATCTGCTTTGACAGAGTCATTTTTTCCTGTAGATCACTGTCCTCCTGAGATCTAACATGTGAGATCAGTTCCATGATACCTGTTTCCTTTAATGCCAACCAGGCATCACCAAAGACGCAGTTCTGCAGACTGCAAGGTCCCTTTTCTCACTTAGGAGTGGATTTTGAGAGGCCTGTTCCTCATCTGTTAGATTTCATTCTATTAGCAAATGCAAAATATCAGCATGTTTTGGGGGATGCCCTAATAGGTTTGGGTAATTTCTCCTCCCCCATCAAAGCCAACCAAAATACACCAATAGCATATTTTCCCATTCCTGAATTAATTCAGAGTCCTCAGGGATCATCGTGTTCAAAGGTTTGCACAAGGGAATGGCTTCTGGGAAGCGCACTTGTTTGAAGTGGATTTTAGTTAGTCTAATAAACCAGATTGTGATACCACATTTTTACTGAGTGAAACACAGTGCCAGGAGTAATTGTGTGTGATTTTACATGAAGGTATAGGTAACAATGCATGTTCAACATGTTTGGTTTCAGAACAATAGCAAGTGGTGGTTGTATTTGATTGCTTAATCATAACGTAGTAACAACATACTCTGCGTTACTCCGTGGAGGATCTGAATTCAGAGCATTCAGCACATTCCTCCCATTGATAGCTGCAGAATCATTCTAAGCCAAAATACACACAAATCAGTGAGGTAAAACGTTCTTTGTGAGACATCACTAACTCGATGGTATTGGCTGAAGTAAGAGAACTTCAGTACGACCTGAACTGTGTGCCTCAGATTCCTAACGGAAAGGTTTCATAAGTGAACTAAAATTAGTTGGCAGTCAGTAATTCACAAGAGATAATAGCTGCATCACCTTGAATCAGATAGAACACACTGACTGTCTTCAGACAAGCTGAAAATTCAGTGTTTTGTTTAATGAAGTGTTAGAATGCATGTAGTCTGAGACCTGGGCCTGCAAGTTCATGTTTGCTAAAGCATAATGCATAAAGATTAATGCAAACAGAGCATCTTAGGAAATATAACCAGAGCAGACACACGACGCCTGCTTTTCTCAGCCATTAAGAGAGCATAGTTTTCCTGAGGAATGCATTCTTCCCCTCTTTTAAAGGCAAACCAAACCTTGCATGAGTGAAAAAAACAACCATCAAAAACCCTGTAACAATCCTGGAAGCCAAATTCCACATCTATTTTGCAATGGTTATGGAGTCAAAGCTATTTGTGTACAATTAGCAAGCCACACAAGCTAATTGCAGGTTAAAACTCTCATGCAGAACTTTTTAACTTTCAGAAACTCTTGCCAGTGAAATTCCACCCTTCCTGTTTTCAGGGAGGCAGGCCTGATTTTGTTTCCTAAGTGAATGCGCTGCTGACTCAGCAGGAATTTCTAGCTCCATCATTAATAGCAGGTCATTTACATTCTCAGGTTCTACCTGAAACTGAAAAAAGGGCAAACAACATCATGAAAGCTGAAAACGAATCAAAACCTATATGCAAATCCAGTCCCATCCTGCAGCACTGAGCATTTTCCCGTTTGCACAGGGACGAAAAGTGTCAATTCTGTTATATAAAATATCATGTCAAATAGGACAGCACTTACCTCCACTTAGTATAATGACAGCTATAAATATTGCCAGGTCACTGTCATCTAATTCCAGTGCATTGAACTTCACAGCAAACTCAAACTTGGGTTCCATAAAGTCACAAAAAGGTTTTCTCAGGCTCTTCAGAAACTCCCGTGTCATGAATCCTTGTCCGTCAGATACAAGAACTCCATCTTTATTCATCAGAGATGCCAGGAGAGTATATATGATCTCATGGACCCCGTATTTCAGGAGAGTTACTTGATCATTCAGGTCAAGATTCACAAAACCTGGAATGTTCTTGGCAAATTCCGTGATCTCCTGCACTGCCTCCACTGAGCGGAACTGGCATCGCTGGAAGATGCGAATTGCTACCTCTTTGTTCTCCTCCTGCAGTGGGGACGCGTGCTTGCACTTGATCTGGTCTTCTCCCATCATTAAAGAGTTCATGTCATAAATAACAAATGGCTACAAATAAAAAGAAAAGACAATTTACTTTCAAATGTCCTTTCTATGAGCATTTGCCTCCTGAGAAACTGCAGCAGCACACAGAGGTGCCCCTCAGCCAAAAACACTGGGAAGTCTATGAGGAATATAGCAAGAGTAGCTGACCCCAAAGGGTTAAACCTTCATAAACCTATCAAACAAATATCCTCACAGTGATTCACAGACAGGCCAAATAGTTCTTAGGGCCTTCTCACGTGTCTCGTGAATCCACATTCTAAACCCAGGGCTTTGGCTGGTACTTTCTCACTAGTTGTGGGAGGGAAGTAAAGGACACAGTTTCAAAATAGCTGTTTTCTTTACCCTGTCTTTTAATTGGTTTTCTTGTTTGTGTGTTTGTTCGACAGAAGTTCTCTAACATCTGAATTTGGAGTTTGGAAAAGGTTAAAATGTTTCTCCTTTTACCTGAATTTTAATGGCTTCTATAAGCCAGAATCTACCCAGAGAACAGGGCCATGTTTGCACTTCAGATGATATAACTTTTTTTTCTATAGAAAGACAGAGTATATTCACTCTTTGATTACACCCTATACTGTCATGTTCTTTGCAAGTTCTATCCATCTAGAAAATGCTGCAACTAATATCAACTTCATGGTATTGGTTATCTGATAAATTTAACCTTTTGCTGTTAACTCCTTTAACAAGAACAAAGTTGGGATATATTTAAACTCAAACAAGCTGGCAATGGGAAAAAAACAACCAACACAATACAAACTACAGGAGCACAATTCAGAACACAGGAATGAGTCTGACTATGAAATAAACTCAACTGCAATAAATCAATCTTGAGAGCAGACCAGGAAAAGTAGTGCCAGGAAAACTTTTGTTAGGATCTGGAAACAATCTGTTTCCGAATGTGCAGAAGAAGCTCCTGGTTTTAAAGGAATGGGTAAGTGGGGAATTCTTGAATTCATCTGAAGAATCTTTTCCTTGGAGGATAAATGACTAAATAGCTCACTGCTGCACTCAGAACTCTCACTGATGTCAATAGCTTTGTTAACATAGCTGATTAATTAATTTAAACACAATGAGTTGTTCAACAAATGGGCTAGAGAAATGCATTTTTTAATTTAAGATCCCTTGTGATTACATAGCTAATTCATTCTAACACCTTATTCACATGGGTGCTCTCTCTCCTGCTTTTGTAGTCACTATATACTGAAGAACAAGATTCCAAACCAGCCCAAGCCTTCCCAACTGTAGTCAGCAGTCCTCTCCCACAGCATCACCTCCTGCAAACTCCTACAGTTCTGTTCCTATTGGGTTAAACCAGTATTAAAGTCTATTCAGTGCTAGATTATTATGGGATTCTTAGAACTGACATGAAGTACTTTCTTTAGAGCCTGGGGGTGCCTTTTGCCAGCTGAGGTTACTACTCCCATAGTTCTGCCAATGGAGACTGTGGAAGTGTTTGCTCATCTGCTTCAGGCTAAATCAAACAGAAAGCTCTGACTGCTTTCACTGGGCAGGAGGGAGGGCTGGAAGCTGGCAGTGCTTCCCTAACCAGGAGAGCTGACTGGAAAACAGAGCTCTGGCTGTGAACGGCACCAATAGCATCTGCACAGGAGGATTTCAGCTTTCAAAACAGGTTGGTGGAATCAGTACTCCACTGCTTACAGGCCCAAGGAAAGTCGTGCTGTGACTTCCCCAGTGATGACAGGCAAACATAGCTCCAGCCCCTGAGATCCAGTTAAACAGAGGGTAAGGTGTGACACTTTTCCTACTTGCACTAGGATTTCAGTGTGAAACTGAACAAATAAACATACAGCACTGAGAAAAGCCAGGAGGAGGAGGTGTTTTTCAGGATGCAGTGCTATTTTGGCTGCAGAAAAGCATTTCATACAGATCTGTATATATGTGTATGCACACATATGTAAAATAGTGGAATAAAAAGATGAGAGGAAGCTTTTAAAAAGCATGTTTCAGTAGTAGTAGGTCATTCCTTTGTTTTCTTTCTAGAAATCTTAAGTTGGGGCACCAAGTACAACAAAGTCATTAATACTGTGCATGAACATGTCCTTTAGAAAGAATGTTTCCCAGTAGAGGTACATAGTTATTAGGATCACACTTACAACCCCTAAACTGCTGTGTTGATTCTTTCCCCTGTTTCTGATATAGAAAGGGAACTGAGAAAAGAGTTGGGAAAAGCAGTGCCGCTTCAGTGGACCTACCACAGCAGCTTTCTGCAGAGTAAAGAAACTATGCTGGTTAAACCTTCATATACTCCATGATGAAAGGCTACTCGAATTGTAAGTGTCCACCACATCTGGATTTTGATGTGAGGAGTGCAACCAAATTAGAGACAATATTTGAATTACTATTTTAGCCCCCTTTAAAGCCTAAACCACCTCCAAATTCTTACCTGTCTTTGAAATTATTAAAGAAAATAAACCCCAGTGCCTGTCATAAAACTGACAATTAAAGATAAAACAAAGCAAGAGTTATAAAACTTGGAAAACTGGTTTTCTTTTTCAGTATTAAAACAGTGACAAGAATAGAAACCTCCCATAATTATCAGTTATCCTCCTCACTGCTAGAAAAGATTGTTACATGTTGCTGGTGAAGTTTCCAAACATATATATCCCTATTCCTTACTTTTCAAAGATTTTCCTGTACGTTCTCCTCAAAGTGAAATTGCACCAGCACAGGATGCTGATCTGATCCAAGATAACCCCCTTAAATGCAGGAAGTCATCAAAGCTTCATAAGAATAAGCATCATATTTAAGGCTAGTAATGCTGTTGGCACTGGGAATCATTTGACACTTCAAAAGAGTATTCCTTTGGGAACAGGTAGTACTGATAATAAGCTATGATAATATGCTGTGATACAGATGTTTGAATAGCATAGCTGCCAATTCCTGACAGCGAGATAGCCACCTTAACAGATGATGTGGCAGATAACCTTTGGTGGAAGAGAAGGAAAACGGGAAGAGAGGCTCAGAGAATACAAAAAGGTTAAGGTGACCTTCACATTCTTGTCCTGGTTTCAAGTATTTTATTAGGTGAACTTGGAGTTTTTTCAAATAATGTTTACTTATCCTATCTAAAAACATTTCCTGTGTTTCAGACACAGCTTGAAATATGGAACTGCCAACAGCAAAGGGGGGGGGAGGGTTTCAAAGATGTGCTGTCTACGTAGTAAATAATTTACTCAAAAGAAAGGCAGAAAAAACCCAAAACAAAACAGAGGGAACTAACTGATTTGTCTGTCGTCTTTCCTGTCAAGATCGCCCTCGCCTTGGCTTTGGTCAGAGGGAAGGACTTTATGTATGAGTCATACAAATGCTTGGCAAGTGCTCGTAGATCAGCAGATTCAGGGTTTAACTGGTCGATGTCGCTGGAAATCTCTGCCAAGAGCTTCTCCTTCTCCGCTTGTGGCATTCGCCCAAACCTGATGGCTGAAGAAGATGACAAGTGATTACTACAGCTATAGTTGCACCTGAAAAAGCACACTTGGATTGCTTTTTATGTCACCTTTTGTTATGAGCTCTTGAAGTCTTTATTGAAACAGTACTTAGGCAAGCAAGAAAAAGATTATTTTCCCCAGTAATATAGGCAAAACAGCGGAAGTGCTTTAAAGAAATACAAACAAACACATCCCAAAGAGGAAATCGTCTGTGTGCCCAAACAGTAAGGTTACAATATCTTGCTTGGAAATGCAAACTTGAGAGAGTTGCTGGAAACCACTGGTTCTACCTCCAATGTAAATAAGCCAGAAAGAATCTTTAAGATATAAAAATCGTGTTGGCTGAGGGTAGGGACCACTTTTCAGCCTTGTATTATTTTGGGCAAATCACTGTATGGATCTCAGGTTCTTCATTTGTTTAGAAACAAAACACTCCCATGCCTTGCAGGAACAAATTCCTAAATAGTTCAGCACAACTTAGCGTGGCAAGTGCTATGAAATGTTACTAAATGAATTAAGGAATGAGAAAGAAGTTGTAGAGGGAATACAAAAGCCAGAAAAGAGCTGAGTTCTTGAGTTCTTCATGTAACTCTATATGCATGCAGTATTGAGAGAACAGGAAATGGTTCTACCTACTCATATGGTCTCACAGTTGCTCAATACTGACCAAGGCAGGCTGTATACCTCCCACTGTGACCCATATGCCTCCTCTCCAAGACACTCTTCATTCATATGGGGACTGACTTGGAAAACATTTCACATGAGCTGTCAAGATGAAGCCTGATTTATTGCATGATAGTTCAGGAAACAGAATTTGGTTTATTTTACAGAAACAAAACAAAAGAGCATCCAAACAAACAGCAGGAGGAAGAGATAAAGGTTTGCATTTTGGCCTTAGACAGAAAGAGAAATATTCTAAATATTTTTGCAGTGATTGGTGTCTTCCTTGGCTAAAGCAAAAGTGCTGTTAAGATCATATGTAGGGATGATCATACAGGGGACATTTACTTTGGAAGCAACCAGCCACTTTCCTTTCATGTGTTTGCTTGCAGTGTGCTGATGGACAAAAAAGACACTTCAAGAGTAATTAGCTGTGCTAAGAAACAACCCCAAACCCTATTTGTCACTTACTATTGACCATTTCTCTTATTTCATACCTCTAGAAACAAGGTGGGTTGTTTTGACAACTGCATTACAGTTCTCTGTCAGCAGACTCGGTCTCTGAGTGCTGCATGCTGTATATTTCATATCTGCTCGAGTATTCTGTGAGCATTCAGATGTCAGAATAAAAAGCTTCCTGAGAGGAAGCCAAGCTCAATGGGTAGAAATTGAGATACTGTTTTTACAGATATTTCCAAGAGCAAAATATTTAAAGAGAAGTTATTAATTTCAGCTTAGTTTCTATGAGGTACTAGAATGGCTCAGACTGACCCCACTCTGAAAAGAAGCAGTGTGAATGGGTGAGTGTATGGTGACATTAGTGATGCACAAAAAACTGATCTCAAACAAAAGGAGAGTTTGTATTTGTCCTGAGTGTAACTGAAATAAAAGAATGAAAAGATTCAGCATAGCTACAAAGGAATTAATTCAGCTCCATCTGCTGCCATGGGCACTGTGGCTCAACACTCTTTCGGTACTTTCATTTTGCAGTTCAAATGGATTCTCTCACTATTACCAATTCTTATTTGTAGTTAACACAGATCCTTTCAGTTTGTTTTTAAAAGCCATGCTCTGGAGGTTGGCAGCATTGAACCTTGCTGTGATCTCTGCATTTAGACGTTCCTGAAGATGTAAAATGAACAAAGTCTGAGTGCTCTATGAATTAAATGGAACGAAAACTCACCGAGAGTATTTTATAGCATTTACAGATCTTTTTTTCTGATACTTAAGGAGTGAGTCAATAAAAAGAAGCAAACTGGCATCACCATAATAAAGCCAAAATACAGTATTACATAAATATAGTAAGAAGTTGTTACAGGGACACCATGCAGAAATAAAATGTGGGGTCAGGAAGGTGTTAAGATAACAATATGGCTAATAAAGGTGTTAAAGGTAAATTAGAAGTCCAGGTCAGACTGTGGCCCAACAATTCGTAACTTCACATCTTCATTAAAAGCTCTTATGTTCTTCCCCAAACCTGGTTTCAGATGTAACGTTCATTTCATATTACATTTGTGGAATTCATAAGAGGATGTTTTATGATCAGTGTATCCACTTTTCAAGTGTGCATTTTGCAATAGCTTCATCAGTGTAAAAAAAATCCTGTTCTACTTTGATGATTCTGATTGGCATCTTGACAACAAAGTCAGCTCCTCAACATCTGGTTTTGAGGAAGAATTGGCAAACTGGAGACCTAAGTTAGCAAGACTTCTCACACTGTTACTCTTAATCTTGAAAGAAAGCAAGACAAGTATTAGCCTCATGTAAAGAACTTCATAGAAAAGGAAAATCAGAGTTGCCCACGTTTAAAACGTTGATCACTTCCAGAAACCTATGAAGTGCAATTTATTATGACCTGAAGTCTTAACACACAGTAAGAAGTCCTGAGGAGCTCTGAGGATCTGTAAGTCCTTGAAGAGATTTCACAATAGGATCAGGAATGAGGTACTTTGGGCCAGAAAAATGTTTTGTTATGATAAATCCTACTTGTAAACTATTTTGGTATTGTAGGTGGAATGCATTTATAAAAATATTCTATATAATGTTATAATATGCATTTTCAACAGCCTGATGTCAACCCTATACGCTCTGTCTGTAAGCACATCAGAAGTATTACGGAAAGAGATATTGACTGGACACCAGGGTGAGACATGATTCTGGAGAGCTGGGCTTTGCAGGAGCAAATTCATAACCTGGAATCTCCCTGGCACAAGAGCCCCTGTCATCAAGGTTATTTCTACAAAGGGGATTAAAAAAATATAGCACAGTATATTCAGTATATTGCTTCCCCTTCCATATTAATGTTTTAATATTAATTTAGCTCTAAAATAATTCATGCATTTCCCCGAGGCATTAAAAACAATAGGAATGTATTTGTTTTTTTCTCTACATCTGCCCCTAGTCAAATATCTACTGAAACATTCATAGCAATATAGCAGAGTGCATACACCAGCTATGACACTGCTTAGGAAATAGAACTGTTGAATGGAGAGATGTGATGGAGAAGATAAAGGATTCTCAAACCAGAGATTGTTCTGTCAGTAGAATGTAACTCAGCTGTGCAATTGTATTCCTTCATGGAACAGAAACTGGACTGATGGCAGACACCTTGCTAGAAACTCACACTGGGGGAACAGGCTGGTGCCTGCTCTCTCCAGTAGGTTTGCCAGGATTGAGTGCGATAGTTTCTGGTTTAAAACTTCAGGCAGTTTTTCCCTAGCTGTATCTATCTACTGTTGCACTGATACTCCCAGCATTAAATAAGCTTAGTTCTGAGTATAAACCAACAGCATTGCATGTACACGATGTTTTCTGACTATGCTCCTACACCCTGGTTCCTGAATGTCTCATTTCCTGTCCAAGAGTCTCTTGGGAAGTAAATGACAGTATTTGTGCTAGAAATTTGGTATTGCTAAAGGACATATAGCAACTTGCTCTGTCTTTATTTTTTTTAATTGAAAATAATATGGATTACAGGTGTTTGGGAATCCTGTTTCTGGTGCGCTGATCTATCCTGACCAAAGGATACCAAATTGCCTTTGCACAGTAGGCATGGTTTACAAGGCCTAGTGCTTCTAACATTTAGAGACTGCACTGGAGTTCATCATACTGTTAGTAGTTCATTTACTGTGAAGAGTCCTAGAGTAAATGCCCTCTTAGCATTCAGTTTTGGTTTGGCTGTGATGGTGACACTTATTTTCCTGCAAACGGCTTTGAGAACTGTATGAAGAATGCTATAACCCCAAAATACTATTTATGCCTTTGGTGTTTCCTTCAGAACTCTGCCTTGTTGGAATCAGATTGATTTTTTTGTTTATGTATCTTTAAGAATTTGCATAACTCTTACATATACAGTCAATCCCCTGTGAACATCAGTGTGAAATCAGAGCATTGCCTTCACTGTGCTAAATTCTGAGAGTGCAAACACCCGTATTTATAACCTATATTGGACTCAAAGCCCAAACTTGCATAGGAAGATGGTATCAAATGAAAAAGAAACAAAAAGAAACCACAAGGAAACAACAGCACAACTGCCAAAGAGAACCCTGAATTCTATAGCAGATGTGTTAAAATGCTGAGATTACACTGAAAGAAAATTCACGCATGTATCATTATACAGTAAACTGGGTTCTAAGCACTAACTTCCATTCTGGAATGCTTGTGCGCTGCACTCAGAGTGCAGTCAGATACAGCAAACACTGCTCACAGCACACACAGCTCTCACAGCACTGTCAGGGCAGTGCCAACCTGCTGCTATCACTGCGTGCAGTTAGCTGATAGCTAATCAAATCAGCGTAAGGGGTTATCTCTTACTGGCCTGAACCACCCAGCACTGGTTTGTCAGCACAAAGGATTGCCAGCTATCAGATCACAGGGGTGGCATTCAGCAAGACACCAATCCTGCAGTTTGCGTCCAGCAGATAGGACCAAGTCTTCTGCTAAACATGTGAACTGACTGCACTAAGACTGGAAACGAGCTCTTGCCGTTTTCAGCACTACCTGAACCATTAGGGTGCACCTTGCTGCCTGCCATCGTTCCATCAGACTTCTACATAAAGTAACTCAGCAACACTGGAGCCCCTCAGGAATCTCAGCATTCTTTCTAGTGTTTAGTGTGTGAGAACTGTGCCTGGGGGAAGGTTTGTTCCACCTCTCTGGCTCTGTATGGATGGTATGACTATTAGCAGTCTCTTTCTACATGTGCTTGTTTCTTTCTAAATGGGTGATCCACGTTTAAACATCATCCTTATATCATGAACACCTGTGCCCTGGAAGGTTTCTGCTGTAAGTAGGTCAGGAATTCTGAGAATAGTTTCCTAAAACAAAAATGTGATCAAGACCCAAAAGTCTATGTTGTCAAACTATTAGATTTATAATTAACTTTACTAGTGACTAGTTATGAATCAAACATTTTTATCCTATAATTTGATGGGCAAAAGGATAGTTTTCATTGGGTTTTAATGTTTAGAATGTATTTTATAAAGATGCTATTAGTTGCACCAGGTACTGTTCAATGTTTGCTAGCATTGTAGGCAAAACGTGGGGCAAAATTCAGTTTGTGGTACTGGCCTGGTAGCTTCCTGTTGGAGAAGTCACTCTCATTTTCAGGGACTGAGACTAAAGTCAGGGACAGGTCAGGCACCAGGAGGGTTATGGAAGGAATTTGGAACGTGGGATGTTGGGCGAGAGGAGAGGTAGGACACACTGATTGTACTTAGAGAGGTCAGGGTGGAAGAGGAGAGTTCACAGGCTGGATAAGAATTCACAGCATTTGTGGTGGCTGAGGAAGATTTCAAGGATGGGTGGAATCCTTTTCTGCTTCTTTCCCAATCTCCCTCCTGTGACCGTGGTCTCATCTTCCATTTCCTGGACCACTCATCCTCCTTGCTACTCTATCTTCTCCTCCATCTACTCTCACAGCAGGCCCAGGTTCCTTACCTCCAGGGAGCCTGGGAAGTGCATCAAGGCAGGATCTGTAGGAGGGAGAAGAGCAGGGACAAGCCAGCAAGCTGGTATAAGAGACCTGGAACTGTGGCTTGCTGCTCACACTGCAGGGGTGGAAGGGCTTCAGATGGCAATTGCTTTCACAGTAATAGCAGATCCTGAAAGTTTAGGCACTTGCTGGAACACGAGATCTCACTCTTTGCCAGTTATTTCCTTTACTTGTGTTTAGAGTATTCTCCAAATGTCAGTGCCATAAAGCCAACAGTGAACACAGTAAGATGCTACATGCTACTGGAATATTTACCTTTACAACACATTTTACAGCTTGGAGAAGTCTCTGTACCTACTCACAGGCTATTTTGTAGAGCACTTGGTTCCTCTGATTGACAAAATTACTTCTGAGCACAAATAAGTCCCCAAATAGACTATAAACACAGCTTCCTGCACTAGAAACACGAGGTAAAGCCTGGGTGCATGCGTGTCTGCGTTCACTGGAGGCATGTGCCCACACTGAGCAGTTCACTGCTCCCAGCACTGATGATAAAGCCCTACTGCCATGAGTGCTCTTCTTTACAGTAGTTGCTTTTGTATAAATAGCGGCTTTGAGGAGAAGAGAAATGAATGAATGACTTTTCTAACATACAAGCCCCAAGCTTCTGCTTAGTGGTACTTCAGCACACAATGTAAGCAACTAAGGGTTAAACACAGAGCAGCACTGTGGCTAGAGAAGGAAAGGAAAACAATATTCAAGGCATGAGAACTCTACTGTCTTCTTTAACCTTCAGCCAAGTGGTATGTGGCGTTCCTACGTGAAAAAATGTGGCTGTAGCTGCTAAGGTCTCCCTGCATTCCCTGCTTCTCTAAGTCCCTCTTCATGTTGCAATAGTGCATCTATGCACAGACAGGCATAGGTTGGAACCCTCAGGCACAAGTAATCCACGTTCTCATTTGAAATTCAGCTAATTTCACTACCCAAATGGGTGAAGAAGTGTAACATAAAATGTGTTTGTGTGTCATCGGCAACACCCCGTGTTGTGTTTCTGGATGCCTCTTTATGCAGCACTGGGTCTTCAAAGGTGAAATTCAGTTCTTTTTTGTAAGTCTGATTGTTTATAACTGACAGAGGAATGAGGGTGTTTTATGCTATGCCATGAAACCAGAGCAGGTAGAAAAGGCAAATGGAGAAGCCAATACTTGACTACAAACACTCCTGACTCCCTGTTAGGTGAGAGCAAACAGCGGTGCTCCTTTAAGCCCTGGGACACATGGCTTTGCCTCTTCCCTGACTCCCAGACCCACACCCCACTGGTGCCACAGCTCCTGCCTTGGCAGGACTGGGAAATGGGAGAAGAACTGGGAGGGGAAGTGTTAGTTTGAAAAGTATTTCTTGGGGCCTTTATGTTCCAAAGCCAGAGGGAACAGTCCCATTCCCCTCCTTGGTAGGGCTGCACATGGTTCCCGTTGACAGAACTGGGAGCTGTGTTGCTAGCTTGTGAATTTGGCATGCACCTTGAAAAACATCATAACAAACTCTCCTGAATTGCTATAAGAATACCCACAGTAGCATTTCAAAATTAGGTTTATGTTAAAGTGTTGCTGTTGCATCCCAGGAACTTGAAAGCCATATTTTCTATTAGCAAAACTTTTCCCATACGCGTTTACATTCAGTGCCTGTATTAACTTTGCAAACCACAGTTAAGCTTTCCTCTTGGGGACAGTACATTCATTTTTTATACTGAAAATAATGAAAGGTCTAAAAAACCACAGAGAAGTTATTTTCCCAGTCATGTTTGCAATTTTTTACCCTTAGAATTACATAAGTCTCTGTTATGACATTTAATTCCTGTTTTTACTCCACTTTGCCAAAGCAAGGCAGCAAAGAATCTTCATTATGTGTTCCTTTGCAAACATTCATAACTATTTCCACATGAACTGATTTGTTAATTTTAAAGTTCAGAGGGACTTTCTTCTAAATTCTATGGAACAGAGCAGGATCGTGATACACTTCATGCTATTTGCTTACCTACTGTAAAGAAGGCAATCACAGGACCATACCCAATGGCAAACACCTTTGCTATGTAAGACTGTGACATATTCAGAATGGAAATGCTGCTCACGGTTCACAGATGGGGGGGGGGGATGGTCACCTCCAGGTGTGGTAGAGGGCAGAAAGCATGTATGGCACAGGAATCACAGCCAGACACACTATGCGATGGGAGGCTGACAGCTGAATGGGCATGCTCAGAAACACTACACTCCTACTTACCACACATTGGAATATATGCCCAGATGTGGGTATCCTAGGAAGGAGGAGGAGAGGGGTTTGTAAACCAGTACAGGGTCCAGCCCATTCACCTAAAGTACGTTGTGTCCTAGTATGAGGAAGTGTTAACTTAGTGATGCTGACAGTGCTCAGTAAGTGTCCTATGCATCAAATTCAAGTTGTTATTCACAACGTTCCAATAAAGTCCCTAGTCCATTTTTCATGTTTAGATTGAGCTCCAGGATGCCAAACAGTCTCGTCAGAAAACAAGACAATGGACGGGAAAATAGCAGTGACACTAGGAATATGGTCAGGAAGAACAACCAACAGTGTAACGGGCAAGAATAGTGCAGGGTAAAACCAGCTCATATGTTGTGTTATGTATTATATCGAGAAGTGCAGATCTCTACCCATCTGATTTCTATACTGAAAGCAATCTTCAGTCTTACAGTTCTGGACTCAGAGGCAGTCTCTGTGATATGCATTTCTAAACTGCCTCATGTAAAGATGTAGAAGCCTGCAGATGTCGCAGCAGCACACTCAGTGACCGTATTAATGTTTCATGTTATTTTTCAGTTGAACCATCATTAATGCACGCTGCGTGCACTTACCATTATGTGACATTCCAACGGCAAGGCATTTCTGGAACCTGCAGTATTGGCATTTATTCCTGCTTTTCTTATGGATGCGGCAGTTCAGGTCACACCTGTCATAGATCAGCTTTAACCTGATGGTTCTTCGAAAAAAGCCCTGGAATCAACACAGAAGCACGTAAGAGGACACCAGACACTGCAGTGTCATCACCTCACCTCCCCTGTGAGGATAAACCCAAAGCACCTTTCAGGACACACACTGAAGCTAACTTCGGTTTGGGCAGCTTTCTAAAGGAAGCAAGGCTCATGTGATCTGTGTCTGCTCCTCCGTGTACTCCTGTTCGGATCTCATTAGCCATTTGCAACCTAGTTGGATGGAGGGGAACTGGGAAAGCTCATGGGGATTGGCGGAGTTTAAAGGACACAAGCTGGGAGCTCTACAGACATGGGGAGCATGAAGCACCCTGTACCAAAGGAAGCCAAGCTCCATTTGTTCCACTGCTCATGGGACAACTTGTTATGAAGTGAAATTTTAGATTCACTACTGGGGGAGGAAACGTTTTATAAATCACTGCCAACCAGAAATTCTGCCAACAGGAATTCGATCTCAAGTGAACCAGTCACATTATGGGGTATTGTCTCCTGACAGCTTAAAGATGCTTTCCCACATCACTCAGAATCGATTAAGTTTTACCCAAATTTATCTGCATTTGTCCCTTGTAACAATGAAGGTCTTTCTCACAATATCAACAAGTCACTGTAATTTAATTAGTCAACAACGTACTTATTGCTTTACGTGTTCCTAATTCAGAGCCACACGTTTTATTTCAGCTCTGCACTGGGTCTTTCCTATTAGTTCATTTCCTCTAGATACTGAAAACAGAGAAGATGAGAATCTGATGTTAAACACTGTAATATTTTTCTTTGAGCTGAATGAATTATTATTCATTTCTTTCTCTGGCATTTCTTCTCTCATTCTTGAGGAAGGTCAATTTTTACACCATTCATTTGTCCTTTTTGTATTACAAACACTAAACACCATTGACATAAAAAAAAGCTGATGGAGTTTTAAAGCAGAAAACCACATTCTTCCATTCCATTAGACTTTTCCATAGTCATCTAGGAACGTGTGAATTGGGTGAGGAAACTCTAATCAATTGGAATAACAGAGTCTGAAGCTTAAATTGCTCAGAGGATTGAGCTTTGGAGTTAGGCACGAGTCTGCTTTTGCTGCATGCTATGAATTGAGATTCTGCAATTGATCTCCAAGACAGCAGGAATTAACTAGAATTGCACAATTGCCAAAAGTAGAAGAAATGCACAAAAATTTATAATAGATCAGTAACTTAATAAAAAAAGGCAAATTATATTTAAAACCCCTCCTCCTATGAAGTCATAAAGTATCTGCAGTCTGTGAGGAACAGACAGTCCTTTCCAACCCGAACTGTTCTGTGATGCTATGACTGTACTTCAAGAACTGAAGCTGTTTATAAAAGCACAGACCTCTGATTTTACCAAGGGATTATTCAGTATCCAGTCTTCCTTCAGAAGAGCCACTTTTGTGACAACTCACCTTGCAACCCTCGCAGGCATGTACACCATAATGAAACCCCGAGGCCTTGTCCCCGCACACACGGCATTCAATAGCCATCAGGGAGTTGGAAGTCTCCTCATGAGGCTTGTTGTACAGCTGAACCTTCTCTGAAAAATAGGGTGGGGAAGGAGGCTCCATTTTGATTGCACCTGTGTGTAAAGAAGAGAGAAACTCAAAGTACAATTCAATATATATAGGAAGAAACAAGGAATAATCCCAAGCAATCACAGTAAACATAGCCAGAGTCATAGCTCTGCTTCATAATACAAAATGAGTAGTAAACAGAGGATGTAAAGGGATGTAAACTGGAAGCCACTGTCTCAGGGGCAGTACATAGGCTGTAAAACCTGGAAGAGGCAGATTCTGATGTAGAAAGTGCATTACAGATCCAGTTTTCAGCTCTGGAGGGTGGAACGATTGGAAGAAAGGGATATAAAAATGTACCTATGGAGACCTCATACTTGAAAGGCCTTCCAGTATCTAACCTGGTTACATTACTTCAAAGTGTTCAGAGCTACTGCAGGGAGATGGGCTGGAGTTTCTAATCTTGTCAAAAAAAAATAATGTAAGTACCTATACATTGAATAATAGATAATTGGATAATATTGGATATTTAAAGAAATTGAGCTCTCCTGGGGAACACTTTGGATGCAGTTTAGAGATACATCTTCTCTTCTGAACACTTCTCATTGAGAGAGCAATTGAATATCAACAAGCTCAAACAACCAAATATTAGGTCCTTAAATCAGTTACTGGTCATAGAAGCCTCAGAAGTGATGTAAGTGCCACAGTATTACAAAAGGATGAAAGTTTTCCTCTTCCAGGCTGGCTGCGTGGTACAAACTAGATACTTTTCTTTCATACCAAAACTAGGAAGAAAGAAGAGGAAATCGTTAAAGATGAAGAGGATTTATCCTACCTCAGCGCTACTGTACCCTACCTTGTTATTGGAGTGCTATGGACAGTTCTAACTAAACAAAAGGACATTATTAGCTGGGAAAATGTCTTAATGTATTACATATGCAACCGAGAGGTTCCCAGCACCCACTTCACTGTGCAGCCAGAATTAAACACCGCAGGATTCCCAGCAGGGATTCCCTTGAAGAATTCCTGGACGGATTGCTATAAGCAAAAGCGGTGTCAAATCCAAGTAGGATGAGTGGATCTTTCAGAAAGTTCCAGGCACAGCAACCTCACGTCCTTCCTCGGAGCAGGGATGTGCAGGGACAGCTCACTTAAAAACGATACACTTCTTAAAAGGAGCGTTCCCTCTCAGTTATTTACTGTTACTGGCAAAGAGCAGCACTGCTCCTAGTGCATAACGAGTCCGAGCCTATGGAGCCTCAAGCTTTAGGGACACTGATAAAAGTTAGACCAAAGCCGTGACTCAGGCGTAGCCAATATCTCTACTCCATCACTTTCTTAGGCTGTTTGGCATTTCAAAGCTACACATATGAATTAGTAATATGCTGTGTAGCCTGGGGCATTTTTTAACACCCAGGATACTTATTCTGCACCAAGCTTCAAAGGACAATTTACACATAAGGTACATGAATAGGAAACTGGAAGCTTCAGAAAAAAATGGTGGGGTTCATGTGTCTAGTAAAAAACATTTAATGTCATTTTAGCTACCTTCTGATACCCTGCCCAACCTCCAACTGCTGCTCTGGAAGGGTGAAGGGCTGCTGTGTGTATTCTTTCTTTCCTATCTGCCCTGCAAGCATGGTGACACAGGATACAGCAGTTAGTCACCTGAATACTTCTACAGCCTTTTGGCTGGTAGGGCACTTCCCAGAGAATGGAGCAGATATGAGCATGAAGGAAATACAGGTTTTAAAACCAAAAGCATACTTTGGCAATCTTGGAGCTTGATATCGTATTTATAATCAATGCTTGTCTGATCGCTTCTTGCGAGAGGAATATCTTCATAGTGTGGTGAAGAAATGCTTGAGAAATCAACGGTGGTAAACGGCTTTATGTCGAAGGAATGTGTGTGATCTTCCATTGCAGACAGATCCACGGGGCTAATTCCAAAATTCATGGGCCAAAACGGCATTTCTGTGTCAACCATTGTAACCCCTGAAAACAGAAACACAGACATTTTGAAAGAGACTAGTTACCTCTGTGACAAGTTAAGGTCCTATTGTCTCACGTCCAAAGGGGTGAAGTGCAAACTCTCAATCAGGTGCAGGTTTAGGCCCCATCTATCATTTGCCATGAGTTTGGCACCATAGAATGTACTAGGGCTTATAGTAACATTGCATGGCTAACACTGAGTAGTTAACCTGGCTTTGAGGTGGCTCTTAGGGAGGCTCTGCCAGCTCATGTCATAAGAGCAAATGAGATGTTCTGACATCTCGGCCTCACGCTAACCTTAGAACAGAACAACCAGAGAAGAGAAGGCTCAGGAGGAACATTATTGCTCTCTAAAACTACCTGAAACGGGGCCAGGAGGGGACTGGTCTCTGCTCCCAAGGAACAAGGGATGGGACAAGAGAAAACAGCCTCAAGCTGCACCAGGGCAGGTTTAGATGGAGCTGAGGAACAATTCCTGCCCCAGAGGGTGCTCAGGCACAGGGCAGTGCTGGAGTCACGGTCCTTGGAAGTGTTCACAGACTGTGTAGACAAAGCCCTCCGTGCCATGGGTTAGTGGTGGCCTTGGAAGTGCTGAGGCAATGGTTGGACTTGAGGAGCTTAAAGGTCTTTTCCAACCTGGGTGATTCTATGGCTGTCTTCAGTATCCTGCTGGGCTGGACTGGACTGATGTGTTCTTCAGAGGGCAGCACAGACAGTTAGTGGGCTCACAGAACTGTGCTTAGGTGAGTAACTCACAAAAACAGAGGGGAAAAATAACCAACTCACTAACTGAATGGGCAGATGGATTACAGTTTTACTTGGCTGTTTTGTACAATATGTATGTGCTTTAGCAAACATGCAAGTCATTTAAAACAAAACCAAACCCAAAGACAGATGTCACTGACTTTAACTGCATCTCTCAATGGTGTGTATATGAATAGAATCAGAAGTCTTCCACAGCTGGTTTTGCAGCTTTGCAAATTCTGATCACTCTCTCCAAGTGCCTGAAAACATGAGGGATTTCTACACTATGAAAAAATTAAAAAGAAGTCAGTGGTTTTCCTCCAAATAACCAGCAAAGTTTGAAATCTTCCCTCATTCAAGTGTGTCAAAAGCTTTATCCCAGAGTCTGCAATCCAAGCCTCGAGGAACTTCCATTTCTGACTTCCCACATTCTAGATCTCTTTGTGCACATCTTGAAACCAGTAACCAAATCAAAATCTTCCATCTGCAAAAATGGTCAGCAAATCAAGTGCAATGAGACTGAGATTTAAAGAGTTTTTCTGAGTCCTCTTTTGACACTTGGATGACCAAAACCCTTGATTCAGATGTATTTCAACTGTAAAGGCTGTAAGTAACAGCAAGTGTAAACCACTGTTTTATAACCAGGGTTTGTCTTTCAGTTTCCATCATTTATAAAAAGAACATTCTGATCTAAAAATAGAGTTCATGTGAAGGAACTTCATTGACTTGGTCCCTTTGGCTGTTTAATTTGGACTTTAGACCCAATCAGGTAAATAGCCTTTAACCTCTAGATAACAGGAACTTTGATTTGATCCACTTTGAATCAAAACTGCTTTGTCACACCGCCACAACTGTTGTAAAATCAATCTCACGGAACAGACCTGCTCTATAACACTGAGATCATCCTCTGTTTTGACAGGCCTGCAGGTAAGTAAATCCATAACTGTCCTCCCCATCAACTGCACTGAGGTGCTAAGGTAGTAATGGCACGAAAGGGTTACAGTTCTCTTGATCTTTCCTCAGGGAAGTCACCCTCATTCTTCCACCTTAAGGACTAGCAGCACAACCTTTTCATTCTATCTTGGCCACAACAAAGGTTGTAAAATATCTTATTTTTATATTTCAGATTAGAAATTCTCACTGCGGTAGGAACAAAAGGGATGCTACTCTATCGCACGCTGTGCAACATACGTGTTGCCTCTAGGAGAACAAAATCATAGAATCATAGAATCATAGAATAGTTAGGGTTGGAAAGGACCTTAAGATCATCAAGTTCCAACCCCCCTGCCATAGGCAGGGACACCTCGCTGTAAACCATATCACCCAAGGCCTCATCCAACCTGGTCTTGAACACTGCCAGGGATGGAGCATTCACAACCTCCTGGGCAACCCATTCCAGTGCCTCACCACCCTTACAGGAAAGAATTTCCTCCTTATATCCAATCTAAACTTCCCCTGTTTAAGTTTTAGCCCATTACCCCTTGTCCTATCACTACAGTCCCTAATGAAGAGTCCCTCCCCAGCATCCCTATAGGCCCCCTTCAGATACTGGGAGGCTGCTATGAGGTCTCCACGCAGCCTTCTCTTCTCCAGGCTGAACAGCCCCAACTTTCTCAGCCTGTCTTCATACAGGAGGTGCTCCAGCCCCTGATCATCCTCGTGGCCTCCTCTGGACTTGTTCCAACAGTTCCATGTCCTTTTTATGTTGAGGACACCAGAACTGCACACAATACTCCAGGTGAGGTCTCACGAGAGCAGAATAAAGGGGCAGGATCACCTCCTTCGACCTGCTGGTCACACTCCTTTTGATGCAGCCCAGGATACGGTTGCTTTCTGGGCTGCAAGCACACACTGAAGCCGGCTCATGTTCATTTTCTCATCGACCAGCACCCCCAAGTCCTTCTCCACAGGACTGCTCTGAATCTCTTCTCTGCCCAGCCTGTAGCTGTGCCTGGGATTGCTCTGACCCAGGTGATCCAGGTGACCCAGGGATCCTATAGCTCCATACTGCCACTCCTACTACTATGTGACTGATGAAGTAGTCCTGTAGAGCAAATAGCATTGAGGGTTCACCATTGGCAAGGTCAGCCCAACTCTCAGCAGCTGTTTGCCTTCCCAAAGGCATCAGTCATCGGATGGGAAGTGCAGGCTCATGTCATCCCTAATGAAAGCAAGATCTGCCCACAAGAAAACACCAGAACTTCTAACTGCCACAAGGGAAAGTTACCCTGTGAGAGTACGTGACAGGTTGTCAGAGTACCTTGGAGTTACACGGTCTGTTCCAAACAGTCAAGTGTTCTGGAAGCATGACGTGCAAATCCCTGGCCATCAACACTGGCGTTTCCAAATAAAGCAGTAAAATAGAATAGACTCCTTCCTAAGAGGCCATTTTCGGAATTACCCAGACCTTTAAAACAATTAAATCAAATCAACAGACGTCTATATTTTAGCATCGGCTTATTGTCCTTTAAGGATTGAGAGCTATGTCCACTGTGTATGTGGAGGGCTGCCTCAGGGGTGGATGAAGAAGAATGCCTGCAGGCCTGGCCCCACTTACAGCCCCAGTTCATCCTGTGCAGCCCACAGGACTCAATACACCCAGGTGCACCCATGAGGTTCCTGTGAGGCCAAGACACAAGTGCAGGCAACCTCAAGAGGCAGGAGGACTCCTGCTGACACCTGCCCTTGCATGGACACCTCCCCTGCACTAAAGGAGCTGAGGAGGCTTCAGTATGGGCCTGCAGGCAAGCGCAAGCTGAAGTCACCCACTGAATGATACACTGAATGACTGCCATTGAGCTCAATTGTTCTATTACACATAAAGTGGATGTTAAAATTAGTGTTCCTGCATCATCCATAAAATCTCTGTGAAGGTATTCTCACAGCCCGAGGCATTATCACTTTGTATTCTCAATTTAAAAGGCTTTAACCTGCAAACCACTGTCAGCTAAACAGCAGGTTAAATGTGGTCTATATTTCACTTTATAACACAGGGAGCAACTGGGATGTTTTGGAGAAACTGGTTACGTACAATATGATTAATTCTGTGAAGCTCCCAAACCATTAGAAGACAATGTGTGCTTGACATTCACTATGTACAGATAGACACACCACAGGTTGGAAAGACTCCAAGAAGCGTATAAGCCCAGAGGTCTGGCTTGCAGGGCACAGCCTCTGAAAGCCAAGAGGGGACAGTAACTCCTTGGCATGTTCTGCTTTCACAGCACAGCTTGCTTCTGTCAGCAAAGTCTACCCATAACCAGAGGACTTTCATGGGAAAGGTACGTCTAGCACAGAACTCTAGAGTTTAACTGTTTTAGGAGAAGCAAACAGAATATGTAACAAGTACCCTGTTGTTTTAACACTCACTCAGTATGAGGGGTTGTGTTTCATGCATGCTAGTTTTTCACTACTAACTGTTGTTTGTTTTTCCTGTGCATCCGTTCACATCACACACACATTCTGTGAGCTGGGGACAGAGGAAATACAAATGCCTAAAGTAAACTGAAGGGCACACCAGGACATTTGGGTGCACCCATTAGCTGCCACAGGGCACAAAGTAATTCCATTTTATGCTACTCATATTTCCAATATAAGGTCATAAAATCTGGACTCAGCAGCTATTCACAGCCCTTCAAGGAAAAGCCTATAAACTCCACCCCTTCCAGAGGTGAACATCCCATGCACAACCAGTAATGGCAGCTCTTCTGATCTGCAGGCAACTAAAAAAGATTTGCTAAATTGTTCCATACCAAGAAATGTCTACTTTCAGGTTTTAAAAATCATTATGTTCATAGAATCCAGCCTGGTTTGGGTTGGGTTGGAAGGGACCTTAAAGCTCCTCCAGTCCCACGGGCAGGGACCCCTTCCACTAGAGCAGCTTGCTCCAAGCCCCAGCTTCTCTGGGCACCCTGTGCCAGCACCTCAGCACCCTCACAGGGAAGAGCTTCTGCCTAAGATCTAACCTGAAATTATTATGTTGTCCATACTATAATTCTGTCTACAGTATCCTCAAAGATAGGTAACAATGATACTGTACACGTGCGCGTACACAGGAGTGTGTATATCTGAAGTCTCCCATTGAAGTACATGATAAAATGCCTTGAGTAGATAGGATTGACTCCACACAAAGAAGGTTTGCTGGTACATGAGCTCTTTCCTTACACTGGAAACAGTTACCTTTGGCTGTACTGTAAATCCCACTTGACAAGGCCTGAGCTCTGCTCAGTTTAAGTGAATTTCATTCCCACTCCCAGTCC